TATCAACAAAATGAAGAACTGGATTACTAGATGTGACAAATGTGGTTTCAGTCTTATTTGCACCTAGTCTTCCAGGCGTTAGAAGATGCATGATCAATCTACCAACTAAGGATTTCAGGGATAATGCCAGCCACATATTTTAGTTTATAATTCAACCAGGAAAAGCAAGTCAGCCAAACTCCACTGAAGAGCACATGTGCAGGCAAACAGTACAACTTCTCTTTCCTGGTTATTTTCCACTTTGTCTTCTTGCGCACTTTGTCCCAAGCCTGTTAAGCAGGTGAAGTAGCCAACTAAAGATTTAAATTACAACGTATTGTTAGACGGTTGATTATATGTTTCAACCATGACCAGGAGTTTAATAGATTAATTTTATATAATTTGTTGAATCAAGAACCAGGCCAATGTTCTCCACTATAGTTACAGTTATGTGGGCACTACAACTTTGTCAGCTACAGCACATGGGAAGGACCCCATATGGAGAAATGCAGACTTAGGTCACATCTTGGCAATTTTTATTTAAGACATTTATTAGTGCAAAAAATGTACTTTTTATTATTGGATTGTTTTTTGCTTGATGTGTATCATTTCACACACACCCCAGTGGACACATATGATCTGCTTTTCTACTGTTTGCTTCTTTCTTTTCTAAAGTGTAAGACGTCCAGAGATATCTGGAGTTGGACAGCCTCCAAACCATATAAATAAAAAATAAATAAAAGTCTAAATCCATAATTGTTCAGTTTGTACCACAAAACTGTGCAATGAAGTTCACATTTCATAATGGTCTCATCAACTATTTAGGCCTCAGTTTGATTCTCATAATTTAATTAGTACTATATTTAGTTGACACCGATGGGTTTATAAAAATAAATCTAAGCATTACAAATGCCATAAACTTTAATTTTTACATGTCTTTAATATTTTACAGGAAAATACCTGGCAGATAACTAACCGAAGTATATGCAAGTATGTTCAAAATCCATATAGCTGAGGACAGCCATGGTTGGATGGCTTTTATATGCTGCTGAGGGGAAACTAATTGAATCCTGTATTCAGGACATTTCTGTTGGAAGCATCAGCAATTCAACATTTCTCCCTCAGAAAATGCCATTTGATCAGTCCTACAGTATTTACTTCTAGATGTAATATTGTTCATGTTTTAAATTGTAATTATTGTATTTGTAAATTGTACTCATTCTAGTAAGGCTGTATTTTGGCAGTTAGACACTTGAGTTTTAGCATTTTATCGTTCAAGAAATGGGCGCAATTTAAACTGTGGTATATAAATTTAACAGTAGTAATGTTGAATGAGACAAAGTTTCAGAGGCAGATGCATTTTGTCAATGTATACCATTTGAACACAATGCTAACAGCTGTGAGAAAGGGAGTGCCTCAAAAAGAACATAAAAGTTAGCTGACCTGCAAAGTCACTGATTATTTCTTCAGTCCACAGCATATGTCATTCAAGTATAGTTACATAAATAAACAGATCTGTCTTTAAATATTTAATTGGTTTAACTTCAGAACATTTCACAGTAAATGTTGAGGTGTTTATGGTACAAATGTATTTTTTCACTTTAAACACTTTTACATATTCCCATTATGTCTGAACAAGATTTAAAAAATAATAGTTTTGGATAACTATTAGAAACTTTGGCTGAGATAAAGCTTGTACTGAGATAGCTGTTTCTTTTTGTTAGTCTAACATGAGTGAACATGAAGATAAAGGAAGAGCACAATGGATTAGAAATCCTCCTGCTATGCAAGCTCTGTGCGGCCTTCTCCATCCTGGTGCCCTGCAGATATGCTGGACATCAGCTGCCATGTGGGCACCAGTTTGGGGGAGACTGGCCTAGAGAAAGGAAGGAAAGCACAGAAAAGGCAACACGGCACTTCCCATTATTTTCACTAAAGTTGGTGCAAGAGGAAGCTGACTATTTAACTAAAAGAACTAGCGATAGAGAAATCCTGCAGCTGTTGTTTTATTTTTTACCTGAGCAAGCCTCTGATTTCATTGACGTGCTTGTTTATTTTTACAGGACCAGTTGCATGCCAAAAACTGGCTCTGAACAACATTTTGTTCTTCATTTAGATTCTAACTTACTTGTGGGGAAAAAAGAGCTTCAAAGAAGCATGTCTGTACACGTGTCTCATGCGCGCGCACACACACACACACACACACACACAGACGTCATCCATGCATACCAAGATTTGTAGCCTGGCCGATCTGTGTTTGAAAGCTAAAAAGGAAAAGAAAGAAGCCATTTGAACAGCATAATTGATAAAATAATCAAGAATATTGCTGGATTTTTGTTTCCGTTATTTAAATGCCAGGATACTCTACTTCAAACAGGTTTCAAGTTGCTAGTCAGTGGTGAATAATTTCTTATAGTTTGAAAAACAAAATGTTTGGATACTCCATTGCTAACATGCTAGGTGTGCACAAATGCTGCAAACCTATTTGTTCATTTGGTAGTTCAAATTGTAGCTGAATACAGTAGGAATAAGGAATATGAGAGGTCATTGTAAAGAGGTGCAGAGTATCTATTCTGCTATTTTCTGTGCTTACAACTAGTATTTTTATAAACTGTGGTCTAACTAGGTTGGCATCCAACTGTCTCACTTGCATGTGAAAACAGCTGTGCTTGATAAACAGCTATGTCTGCATTAAAACAAGCAGACAAAATTAAAAGCTCTATCTGGACATGAATATATTTGTTTATCATCAAGTATGGAATATATATCCTGCAGTGATAGAAATTGAAATTCCACATACATCAAATACTTTTTTCTTAGTTTCTTTTAGTATGAGTCTTGTATCTGAAAACCATAGAGCTAATTTTGTGGAAAATACAATATACAATCCAAAAAAATGTCCCCCCCCCCTCAGGCTTCACTGGCTTCTCTCTCTCATTGGTAAATATGATAAACATTGATTTTTGCTAGAGCTCTGCATGGTTTGAAATGGAAAACGTATCTTTGTGTTTATACTTTGCATTCTTATAAATCTTATCATGTTTGCTCTTTCCTGTGAAAGTGAAATTGGCCTACTGCTAGCATTTGTTGCTCAATTATCACAAAAGCTAGACAAAGGGAAGCACATTTCTGTTTCTTTAATGAATAGAGAATTTTTCTACTCTGGATTTGTTTTGTTTTGTTTTTGTTTTACAATGCATACCAGTTACCAAGTAATTGGGTCTCTGTTGGTCATTTCAGATATCTGCGCATTTCCTAATTACTGCCAACAGACATTTCATGCATTCTGATTTGAAGTAAAAGCTTAATTTTATGCAAAGGAAAGAATTTACTTGCAAGTAGTTTTTCAAATGTGGAGACCCCCTCCTCATTTTTCAAAAATATAATGTTAAAGTAACAAAGGAGAATGAAAATGTTTGATAAATATGAAATGGAAAATCAGTTTAAATCAAAATAATTTGCTATGTCTGAAACATAAAAAATAGTTCAGAAAGATTATATGGATTCCAAGAAAGATGTTAGAAACAACACCATTTATAGATTTTTTATTTTTTATTTTTTTGCTTTGAATTGGAATATAGGCCTTATATTGTATCTAAAGTAACAGCATCCCAGCAAAAAAAAAAAAAAAATTGTCTCATGGGTGAACTTGTCACACTTTAGCAGTTTATTCGCCAGAAATAGATTCACTGGTATTTCTGTTGAAAGTCCTGGTTTACTGCTGAAAAAAGGAAAATAATTAATAAATCTTCAGCCAATTGCAACAACTATCATTTCTTTTGCCAGGTCCTAATAGTCAAAGAAACTCTTACTGAAGCTTGATTTGTATACCTATTTCATCACAAATAGCTACAGGCTTTTTTGTTGTTGATTCCTGCTTCCTTAGTACAATTATAATTATTAATTAGGATTATTAAAAATATGAATCATGCAATGTATGACAGGTTCTTTTTAAAAATTCTGCTTGTAACCTGTTTCTGGGCTTATTTACCAAAAGTAAACTTTCAAACAGAAGTTTAGCTTAGCTGAGCCTTTCCCAACCCTGTGCCCTCCAGGTGTCCATTCCACAGAATTCCTGCCCAGCATGGTTTGTGGCTGTACTGAAGTGGCCATTTTAATGTATTGGCCTTTAAAATCTGGAAAATAGCTTGTCCAGCATAGAAAAAGACATACTGAAAAATAAAAAAGGGAGTTATAAAGCAATTTTTCCTTAATAACAATATAACAATGGACAAAAACATAACTTTTGCTCTTTCTTAATGAAATTACCTATTCCTTGCAAACATCCTTCTCCTGGCTTTGTTTGAACAAAGCTATGGATTAAGTGGGAACATTTTAGTCCTGAAGTCCCTCAGTCTAGCCATTGCTACAGGATCTTATTCTAAGTTGAAGTCTTACTGAGATCTATAAAACTGGGAAGAACTTTGTAAAATATTTTTAACCCAATTCAGGTTATAATTTCAGTTTACATCCATCTTGAAATTTCATAGCTGAAGACAAGATTGGGAAATATCTTAGCCAAAAGTAAGGATATCAATCAGCAGGGAAAGCATACAGATATATAAACTCTGTGCTGCAGATAGATGACTCATCTCCATAAAATGCCTATTCAAGAAGGCCCACTTCATAAAACAAAATAAAATATTTAGTATGACTTTTAAGCAAACTATGATGAGAAGCAACTGCCTATATTGTGTGCAAGGCTTGTCAAATGAATCATGTAGTCATTATAGCTGTAAGCAGAGCCATATTCTTATGCGCACTTATTCAGGAGAAAGTTTCATAGCAGATCCGTGGGACTATCTGCAAATATCCATAGGATCAGGCTCAAGTTTGCTTTGTATAGAAGAAATACTTTTTAAAAAATATTTCTATACAAAATTGAGATTGTGCTTCCTCTAAAAGCCAAACCAACATCAATTATTATGCTAATTTAAAGTACTTCAATAAAATCAGGAAAGGGTAAAATTGGTTTTAGGCCCATTTAGAAAATGAGTATCATTTATACCAGTTAGGTAGCCATCTAGTTAGGTTTGGTGGACCTATCTTTTCTTGTGAATGTAAGGAAGCAATTAGAATATAAAAGGTCTTTTCACTTCCTACTTCTTGTTGTTTTTAGTGTTTGTCCCACTTAGCTGCAGCATCTGCTGGTTTTGCACTGAGACTGCTTAGCAAAGCTGATCAATCATGATAGGACAAGAGGCCTTGTTTTACACCTAGTCTGTTGCAGAGCCTGATACTGATTAGGGGTGAGAGGGAGTAACTGGCCCAAAATCACCCCAGCTGGCTTTGGTGCCCAAGGCAGAACTAGAACCTGGATCTCTCTGTTCCTAGTTCAGCACCCTAACCATTATCCCACACTGACTCTTTTTTGCAACTAATTCATGCTCTATTTGAATAGAATTGCTTTCATTTTAAGAAGTAATTCAGCCATTTTTTTGCTCACTGTGCCAGGCAGTGAGTCTTCTTAAGTACTGCTTATATCATCTGTACAGCACCCTTAGCATTTCAGATATTTTAATTGTTTAAGGATGAGAAACTTTCTCCAATGCTCATACTAATTTGAAATTATGCTACAAAGTGTATACACACACACACACAAACTTTATAGCATAATTAAAGTACCTTTAATATGCTTTAATAGGTATATTAAAGTACCTTTCAAACAGAAATCATCTTTGTATACAAAGGGATGTATGTTTCAATTGTTCCTTTATATAGTGAGGATTCACAAAATAGTAAGCTGAATTTTCTTCTTGATCCTGGTGAGTAGACTATACACATAGTGAACCAATCTTGTTCTTGGGTATGCACTCTTCCAGTAGCTTTAAAATCTTGCAAGACTGGTATTCTCCAGGTGATTTACTATCATGATTCCTAGGTAGAGCAGGCATTGCCAATGCTAGCTCTGAATCTGGAGGGCTATAGTCCAACACATATGAAGGGTGAGATTGAGAAAAAAAATTAT